AAATCTGACGGAGACATTCTGACATTTAGAAGTTACCGATGCCAAGATACAAATACATTTGATAAGAACTTATTGCTGTCTGTATCAATTGGTCTCGTAATTGACCGTAATTGAGTTATTCCGAGAGTAATTGTATTGGATAAAGAAATTTATTTGGAAGTGTTTTTCATTATTATTATAAAAAATGTACATTTATAAAGATTATAATGATTTCTTATATTTACGAGAACATTACACATTGAATAAAACTACTTTTACGGATTTTATCGCGTTTAATTGTTCTTATATTTAATTCCTGACGTTATTGTGCTTTCCAGCACCCATGGTCACAAGTGACCCCCGTGAACATGGATTCCCCCGTGACTATGGGTGCTGGAATTCATTGATATGCGGATGACAGCACTAGTGACACTCTATACACCCGTCGTGCCAATATTTCTCGGGAAAACTTCGTCGAGTACCGGAACAAACTTGTGTCTGAAGTCGAGTATTTGCTGAACAAAGTCTCGGATTGGGGGCGACTAAATCTAGTCCAGTTTAATCCCCAGAAGACACAAGTTTGCGCATTTACCGCTAAAAAGAAACCCTTTGGCATATCACCTCAGTTTCAAGGCACTCCCCTTATTGCCTCAGCCAGTATCGGAATTCTCGGTGTTGACGTATCGAGTGACGTGCAGTTTTGTGTTCACTTGGAAGAGAAGGCCAAATTGGTCTCTAAAAATCTTGGCATGCTCAGCAGAGCGGGACAGCATTTCATGCCGGCACGCCGCCTGCAACTTTACAAGGCGCAGGTTCGGCCTCACATGGAATACTGTTCCCACCTCTGGGCCGGGGCTCCCCAGTGCCAGCTCTTTCCACTTGACCGCACCCAGCGCAGAGCGGCTCGAATCGTCAACGACCGAGTCCTCTCCGATCGGCTCGATTCACTGGCGCTGAGAGATGTTGCATCCCAATGCATATCATATAGCATTTATGAGGAGTGCGATTGGATAGGATTTCTTCCAGCCGCCAAATTTCACGAACGCATATTGCGGCAAAACTTCCGATACCATCCACACATTCTGGATGTTCGGCGGTCCACCACCGTATGTTCTACTAGGAGTTTTCTTCCTCGTACGATCTTTCTGTAGAATAATTTACCACCGGCGATTTTTCCGAACCGATACGATTTAGGGACCTTCAAGAAAAGAGCTTCCTCTTTTCTAAAAGGCCGGCAACGCACCTGCAATTCCCATTGTGTTGCGGTTGTTCATGGGCGGCGGTAGTCACTTACCATCAGCAGTGAGCCATATGTTCGTTTGCCCCCTCTCCTATAAAAAAAAAATAATATTATCATCTTAATTAGCTTAAGTCTGATCACTGCTGGACAAAGATAATATTTAGTAATTCCGTTATGAGGTCTCTTGAACAAATAACTTAAAGCGCCTTATCAGAATACAATAGCAGTTCCTTTTAAATTCACAATACATTTATATAACACAACTTTGGTGGTTTGATTAAGTGTTGGTGGCTCAAAATATAGCCATTAAATAAGAAATCTGACTAACAGTGGAATTAACAGTGGAACAGGAGTTATCAGTGGAAAAATAAGACGTTTCAAAAAATTTTCACTAAGGTTTTATTTATGATTCTATGCAACTTAATTTATTTTCAGTTTAAGCGTATTGTTGCTATTTTTGAACTAAAAATTTTCCGTTTCTTTTATAGTTAAAAAATATAAAATATTTAAAAGTCCACTGCTTAACATAGGCCTCGCCTATAATTTGTCTCATGGGATTTTGGTATAGTTGCCACGTTTTATTTTGCTATTATGTATTTTGCTTGTTGCAAGATGTTACTGCCTACCTTTTTTTCAGTTTCCCTCTGTCGCCTCTTACGACACCTATGGGACGGTATGGTTTAGTGGGTATTCTTACACTGCCACTACATACTCCGGTATTTAGATGGTTTATTTACGCCTTAATTGGTATACCTATATCCATGAATACATCTATTCATGCGATCATCAAAACAGATCAATTATTTTTTTTTATCTAACGAGAGACGACTTAGGAACTTATTTAAGGTTAAGACGAATCCCGATAGAAGACACTACAAACATATCTAATATGTTGTATTAGTATGGTGATTTGTAGACGACCGGAGAACCTTTTTACTGGAAATGAGGCTTGCCATCTTAGTCCTCAGGGGTGACAACGCATCTGCATTTTGCTTCTTAACGAGAAATATATCAAATTTTTTTTTTATAGGCGAGGGGGCAAATGAGTTTGCGGCTCACCTGATGGTAAGTGACTACCGCCGCCCATGAACAACCGCAACACCAGGGGAATCGCAGATGCGTTGCCGGCCTTTTAAAAAGGAGTAGGCTCTTTTCTTGAGGGTCCCTAAGTCGTATCGGTCCGGAAAAATCGCTGGTGGTAATCCATTCCACTAGGAAGTTGTGCGAGGAAGAAAACATCTTCTAAATCGCACAGTGGTGGACCGCCAATCATCCAGCTGGTATGTATGGTATCGCGAGTTTTGTCGCGATGTGCGATGGTGAAATTGAGCGGCTGTAATTAGTCCGAACAATTGCTCAGAGCACTCCCCGTGGTAAATGCGATAAAATACGCAAAGAGATGCAACATCTCTACGAAGTGCCAGTGTATCGAGCCGATCAGAAAGAACTCGGACGTCGACGTTCGAACCGCTCTGTGCTCGATGCTGTCAAGTGGAAGGAGCTGGCACTGGGGTGCCCCGGCCCAGAGATGAGAATAGTATTCCATGTGAGGCCGGATTTGCGCTTTGTAAGGTTGCAAGCGATGTGCCGGCATGAAATACTGTCTCGCTCTGCTGAGCACGCTAAGCTTTTTAGAGGCCAGTTTGGCCTTCCCTTCCAAGTGACCACGAAACTGCACACTATTCGATATGTCAACGCCGTGGATATATCCGGCGATTTAAGATTACTGGTATTAATCATAAATACATAATTCGATTTTAACTTTGTATTGTTATCTATTATTGATTATAACAATCATAATTTTTCAAAAGATTAGATATTGTTGTTCAAATGTCACAGAATGATATTTTGTAACAAATGTAGTAAGGATCTCATGGTTGGTGATTGGTTTTGATTTTATAACGACTTAAAATCTTTTACCCTTTATGTAGAAATGTAGGATTATTTGGCATTATAAAGTTATAGATCGGCAGTGCTCGGTCCTCATTTATCAAGGAAGATTCTTAGGTATGCGTGGAAAAGGTTACTGATGTCCTTTGTTATCAGGCGTTGTTGTATATATTGTACAAACATAGCGATAAATATTTTAGAGATATGAAGGTAAACAATTAGGTCTTCGTTTTTCGGTGATATACTTACCGTTAGCTACTGGCTTTTACAGTTTCATTTGACGTCATTGTAGCTATATTTCATTATTCTAATATCCTTTAAGATTATCTAGGTTAGTAACCTATATATATATATATATATATATATATATATATATATATATATATATATATATATATATATATATATATAAGCTGCGAAAGTAAATTACATAGATTCATTCGCCATTCGACCCCTTTTCAAACACAAATTATAAATTCAAATTCAAAATATTTGTTATTCATTTGGTTATACATATATTTTGGTTTGGTTATACATTTGGTTTTAATCAATTATATTAATAGATATCTGTATAGGTAAACAACCTTTTCGTGTATAACAATATTTGTTATATTTAAAAGGCCTGTGCCTAACATAAGTTACTTGCTGATTAGATATAGTTATAAGTAATATTAGCTTAAAATTATAAAACTTATTAATAATAATATTTTTAATAACTTAATAATAAAGAAACTTAAATTATATAAAATTTTCCTAAACTGGACCATAAATATTCCTAAAGTACTTACTATATAAAATAGTCAATGAATTTCATCAACATTAAAAATAGCTATTAATCTATATCTATACAAATAAATAAAACTGAAGTGTCTGTTTTTAATGTCAAAATTACAGCTTTTTACTAAATGCATATGAAAGTATATACGGTACAAATAACAAAAATACAATTTTTAAAGTTTTTGTCTGTCTGTCTGTCCGTCTGTCTGTCTGTTTGTTCTGGCTAATCTCCGAAACGGCTGGACCGATTTTGACGGGATTTTCACTGGCATGTCACAAGGAGTAACTTAAGCTACTTTTATTTTAGAAAAGATTAGTGTTCCGCGCAAAAAAATTAAAACACCAAATAACACGCGGGCGAAGTCGCGGGGAACAGCTAGTATAATAATAAATAAGATGTTCTGTTTCATCAATTGTAAAAAAAAAATAAAAATTCATACTTTTTCTTTCTTTGAGCAATTTCCATCTAAAAAGGATATCTAACAAAAACACGATAATTCTTTTAATCGTGCGATATTATTTTGAGCAACATGTTAAGGCTAACTTCATTTATAAACTTGAAAATTTAAAAAATAATGCAGTCAAACAACTATAATTTTTATATCTACTGTAAATTGCTAGTGAGTGGTACCGAGTACCATGGAAGTGGTGGCATACCTCCGTTATGTGGCCACACGACAGTCAGTCCAACTTGAGACGAGTCTCGCGCGCGCCACTTACGCGCTACGTCATAACTTCAACTTTAATATTAAACTGATACTAGCTTTCTCTAAATAGCTACTACTCTATTGATTTAAAACTTTTTTGTTAAAATTGACCACGGTATATCATTTTAATGGTCACTATCTTTGGATACAGATGTTAAAGTGTTGAGTTCGTTACTTTGTTTTATTTTTAGGGTAACGTCAATTAAAATATTTTTGTATCGCATCAGATTTCTTTAATTTAACCAAGTAAATATTCGAGTGAAGGGTCTGACTACGCCGGTACCGCTTCGCCGGATGCTGGCTTAAAGACATCGGCCTCCTTTCCCGATCTGTAGTAACAATAATACGCACGATTATTAGTGCTAAGGTGTTTTATGCTGGTGTTGTAGGAGAAATTATATATAACAATGCAGCTGCAATACGATTCCGATGGAACGCCATTTGTTATGTGGGGAGACAATCATATACAGCTGGAGAGAACGGCCGTAATTGAAAAAAATTATATGGAAAAAGCTGAGAAGGAGCTACGGGAAACACCGGAGATAGTTGAAAAGGCGTTGGCCGATTTAAGAGAGCTACTGAAAAGTAAGTAATATTTTGGTAAATTAATAGTTATATTTATATTTAAGTAGATGTGAAATTCAAAATTAGCTTTAAACTATTTATGTTTAATAAATGATGTTTGTGTTTAGATGTATTCTGTAGGTTTTTTTTAAAGCGCTGTGCTATATATATATATAAGCCTTTATTAATGTAATATTAGGTGTAACCTCGTTATCTACTTACCTATATTATTAGTTTGAAACACTTGTTACATTTTTTTTTAATTTAACTAAAAGAATATTAAAAACGTTTTTGTCAATTATTGTTGTCATTTTTCAAATACATTCATCATATTCAACAAAAAATACAAAGCAATGGTGGCTATTGCTATAAGTGCAAATTTTATGGCAATAGTCAATTGCTATAAAATTTGCACTTACGTATTATATACGATAATCGTAATCTCGTAATAATCTATAATTTGCACCTTAATAGATAGTAGTATGTTTTATTTCCTATTTTATGAGTCTTCGGATCATCATCGTTGTTTTCAGCAAAATATTTCAAAATGTTTTGAATTTTATGTATAAAATGTTACAAAATATATACAGACGACTTTATACTTCTAAGATAACCGTTTCAGAGTATGGAATAAGAGTATTCATAATTCTTTTGTTGTGCGTGCTTATCGATTGATTAGAGTCATACGATAATTGTCAACATATGTTCAAACCAACGCACGTCAACAAATTAGTATAGTTTTAAAGATTGGTGACCTTTATTTTTGAAAGATAAGATTTCGAGAAGGGTATCATTAAATTTTTGTAGATGTTGTCGCTGTCACGCGAGTTCAGTCCAGTTTAGAATGTAGGACGAAGTTATACAAAAGACTTACGTAATATATTATTTTTTATTCAATGTCAATATTTGGCCTGTTTTCATTGAAATTATAAGCTATCTAACACGTAACCTCCTACTACAAAATGTAGTTTATAATTAGTTATCTGTTTCACGAAAGTCCCGAGGAAATATGAGAAATTAGATGTAAAGTATGGAATTTTACAGCAAATATCAAATTTCGCGAAGACAGTGGAGACGCGGCTAAAGGAATTCTTTCATGAGAAAGGCTCTTCTTAAGCCATAGTTAAACCCGAGACTATCAATAAACAACGTTAATTTCTCAATAAGACTAAATGTCACCTAGACATGAATTAGCTCTACCAGTTAGGCAAACAATTTTTACTTAATTGTATGCCAGATGTGGAAATAGACAAAGAGTATAATATTAGAGATTAGTACAAATAGGAAGCGGGTGACATTCAATGTCGACAGGTGTTGACAGAGTTGTTGGTACGGTAGTTTTAATTTGCAACTATTCGCGCCAATAGTCGACATTTTATTCTTATCAGTAGTTTAATGTCAAGTCATGTTTTATATATAAGTTTACTAAAAGGATTAATGGATTAATCATGTCTTATCAAAAACGTAAATGTCAAAGAGGGTACAAGCCGAGCCGGTACAAGCATTTGTCTATTTCGCCGCTAAAAGTTTTGCGGGCGCCAAGCTCTACAGCATAGCAATCATTACAATCATGTCTGTTTGTAATGTCAAAATAACAGCTTTTTTTTAAATACATATGAAAGAATATGCAGTACTTATAACAAAAAAAAACACGTTTTAAAATCTTTGTCTGCCTGTCTGTCTGTCTATCTGTTTGTTCCGGCTAATCTCCGAAATGGCTAAGCCGATTTTTACTAGAATTTCATTGGTAGATAGCTGATGTTATAAGGAGTAACTTAGGCTACTTTTATTTTGGAATAAGAATCAGGGTTCCGCGCAAAAAAAATAAAAATATATCGTAATAAATAGTTATAAATTCCATGCGGGCGAAGTTGCGGGGAGCAGCTAGTTTAACATAAAATAGAAGATAATTTAGTATTATTCAATATCCTAGGCTAAATTCAACCTAATAACGAATATTTGTAACAATATAATGATAGCCACTTCGTGTGTAAATGATTCTGCAGACTTAAGTGGCTGATGCGTGACCTTGGTGCGTTAAACATAAACGACTTGTCAAAAAACAGATTTGGGCATAATGATTTCTTATATTTACGCGAACACTACACATTGAATAAAACTATTTTTACGGATTTTATCGCGTTTAATTTACTTATTTTTATATTCCCGACGTTTCGGTTGCTTTCCAGCAACCGTGGTCACGGGGGACTGAGGTGATTGACGTCCCGATGTCAAAGTTAACCCGGAGTACCTTCAGCTTTTTAATTATTAATTTTGGTCCGATCTACGCAGAATGAACTAACTGTGTCTTGAAGTCTTACAGTGGTATGCTTGGGTTTAGTTTTAATTTTATGAATTACAGGATCCCAAGCAGGTGGTAGTACCCAGCCTCCCTCTCTATTGAAATTAGGATGTTTTTTAATTTCAATAGCCTCACGTATCATCCTTGGCAGGAATCGATGTTCTTTCGCGAGGACTTGTGGTTTATCAAATCTAATGTAATGACGGGGGCCGTCTAGGATATGATCACAAACTGCAGACTTCCCGGAACGTTGGTGCTTCACGTCAGCTATGTGTTCTTTTACGCGGGTTTTTATTGATCGTTTTGTTTGCCCTATATATGAGAGACCACACTCACAATCAAGCTTGTATACTCCTGCATCTTGTAGAGGAATATTGCACTTGACGGATGGTAAGAACTGACTAATCTTCTTCGGCGGCTTGAAGAATGTTCTAATAGAAGCTCGCTTCAAGATGTAGCCAATCTTGTCTGTGACACCTCTGACATATGGTAGTACAGCAGGCACACGCTCGACTGTGGCCGGCTTCACTCGGTCACTGTGACGTAGGCGCGGAACCCGAAGCTTGTTGTCGTGCAGAACCTGCTTGACGTGCTGAAGCTCGGCGGCCAGGTGTTTGCTGTCACAGATCCCTCGTGCTCTCTGCAACAAAGATTTGCCCACGGTAGCTAACTGTGAAGGGTGATGGTGGGATTCACCGTTTAAGTATCGGTTTGTATGGGTCTTTTTTCTATACACAGTGTGACCTACGGTGTTATTAGGATTTCGAATGACTAACACATCTAGGAAAGCTAAAGAATTATTTGCCTCTAACTCCATAGTAAATTGAATTTTAGAGTTTATGGAATTAAGATGTTCTAAAAATGCAGTTACTTTGTCTGATGGTAAAATTGTGAAAGTATCGTCTACGTACCGCTTGTAGAAACTTGGAGTTACTGGTGCACTAAGCAGGGCTTTCTCCTCAAAGTCCTCCATGAAAATATCGGCGACAATGGGAGATACCGGTGAGCCCATCGCAACACCATCTACTTGCTTGTAAAACTGTTCCTTCCACAATAGGTAGCCAGATGTAAGGCAATGTCTGAGTAATACTGCATATTCTGCTGGCATGTTGTTTTCCTCTAGTTTCCTAGTTATAATTGAGATGCAGTCTTCAACAGGTAGGCATGTAAATAGAGACTGAACATCAAAACTGACCATAGTTTCATTGTCAGTAAGACATAGGTCTTTTATCTCACTGACAAAATGGTATGAATCCTTAGTGTGTGCTCTTGTATGTCCTCTGAGTGGTGATAGTACTTTTGCTAAGTGTTGAGCCAATCTGTAAGTTGGCGAATCGATCTGACTCACTATTGGACGTAATGGAGCGTTCGGTTTGTGTATTTTTGGTAACCCATACAACTTCGGCGGTTTGGCACACGTAGGTATTATCGAATTTACGTCTAGATTCAGTTTCTCGGAGTATTTCTTTATTAGATCGCTAGTTGTTTTAAGCGTATTAGTTGTAGGATCTGTTTTGACCTTTACGTACGTACTTTCATCCGATAAAAGTTGTTGTATTTTAAAATTGTAATCAGAGACCGATACTTAAACGGTGAATCCCACCATCACCCTTCACAGTTAGCTACCGTGGGCAAATCTTTGTTGCAGAGAGCACGAGGGATCTGTGACAGCAAACACCTGGCCGCCGAGCTTCAGCACGTCAAGCAGGTTCTGCACGACAACAAGCTTCGGGTTCCGCGCCTACGTCACAGTGACCGAGTGAAGCTGGCCACAGTCGAGCGTGTGCCTGCTGTACTACCATATGTCAGAGGTGTCACAGACAAGATTGGCTACATCTTGAAGCGAGCTTCTATTAGAACATTCTTCAAGCCGCCGAAGAAGATTAGTCAGTTCTTACCATCCGTCAAGTGCAATATTCCTCTACAAGATGCAGGAGTATACAAGCTTGATTGTGAGTGTGGTCTCTCATATATAGGGCAAACAAAACGATCAATAAAAACCCGCGTAAAAGAACACATAGCTGACGTGAAGCACCAACGTTCCGGGAAGTCTGCAGTTTGTGATCATATCCTAGACGGCCCCCGTCATTACATTAGATTTGATAAACCACAAGTCCTCGCGAAAGAACATCGATTCCTGCCAAGGATGATACGTGAGGCTATTGAAATTAAAAAACATCCTAATTTCAATAGAGAGGGAGGCTGGGTACTACCACCTGCTTGGGATCCTGTAATTCATAAAATTAAAACTAAACCCAAGCATACCACTGTAAGACTTCAAGACACAGTTAGTTCATTCTGCGTAGATCGGACCAAAATTAATAATTAAAAAGCTGAAGGTACTCCGGGTTAACTTTGACATCGGGACGTCAATCACCTCAGTCCCCCGTGACCACGGTTGCTGGAAAGCAACCGAAACGTCGGGAATATAAAAATAAGTAAATTAAACGCGATAAAATCCGTAAAAATAGTTTTATTCAATGTGTAGTGTTCGCGTAAATATAAGAAATCATTATGTAAACCAGTACGGACTGGAAATAGCAAATAAAATACGCCGACTAGAAGATCTCAAAACCAAGCGCGCAAGATACATAACAGCTTTAAACTTCTTGAAGAGATGCAGAGACCATAATCTCATTCCTACGTGTGTCAAGATATCTACTAAAAAAGACATTCGAGGAAGCGCTAAGATCTTAAATCAGGCAAGCAAAAAATTGTT